TAGCTCACCTCTGCTGCTGCCGCTCATGCACCACAGCGCGCGAAACCGCTGATTCGCGCGCCACTGCTCGCCCTCCCTCCCAGGGCTCTCAAACCTGGGAGGGAGGGGGAGATCCCGAGCGGCCAAGGAGTGCCAAACAGCTGATTCGTGCGCCCCTGCTCCCCCTCCCTCCCAGGTTTGAGAGCCTGGGAGGGAGGGGGAGATCCCGAGCGGCCGCAGTGCGCGAAACACCTGATTGGCGCGCTGCTGCTCATCCTCCCTCCCAGGTTTGAGAGCCTGGGAGGGCGGGGGAGACCCCGAGTGGACGCGGCGCGCGCGCTGCTTTTCCCCCTCCCTTCCTCCCTCCTAGGCTTGAGAGCCTGGGGGGAGGAGACAAGGCTGGGGATTTGGGGAAGGGGCGGAGTTGAGGCGGGGCCGGGGGTGGGGTAAGAAAAAAATGGGGGGCGGCCGCCAAAATTGTTTTTGCTTGGGGCAGCAAAACTCCTAGAGCCGGCCCTGCATTTTAGGACTGCTAGCCTGGAGAGTGTCCTTTTAAGTCCTGTTATTGAGTGTTTTATTTTTCACTGATGCACTCACCTCGAAAAATCTAGATCATGTTTTTAGATTGTTCTAATTGTTATAGTTAATAAATTTCACTGCATTTAATTTACTCCCAGTAATAATACTACTGTAGTATAGTGCCAAGGAGCTTCAGTCATGGTCCAGGACCCCATTCTGTTACGTGTTGTATAAACACAATCCATTAGCGCATCTCTGTCCCCCTATGTTTACAATCTAAGTACAGTACATAACAAATTTGGATGATGGCTATTATTTTAGCATCTGAAACCTGAAGTGAAATCTTATTCACATGTGTGCACACAAGGGGGGAAAAAAAAACCACCACTGCCACCTAGCTTTTTTAGCTATTACTTTATGGTCCTCATTTCTGTCACTGTCTTTGTAAACGATAGATGTTGACAGTTTTCAAAACTGAATTTACCCTTTTTAATGAAAGACAGATTAGGCTTCTAAGAATTTGATATCTCTTTCCAGAATATGTGCATATTCACATTGACTATATGAGATAAAGTTAAAACCTCAAAGCAGATGAAAGTAAAAATCATGAAAGTAGCAAAATCTAGTGGTACATTATGAAGTAACATTGCTTCAGTGATTCATTTGCTGATGTAATCGTGGATAATCTAAGCACTATACCCAGATGTACAGACACTCTTTTCTTAACCTGTGTACTATATAATCTTTTTAACATTTGCTTTAATAAATTTTTTAAATCTGTTCTTACTTTAGTAGCTCAGGTGTTTCCATTAACACTGATCCAACCTGCAAAGCTTTTCTGTTCCACGGAAAATTCCTAGAACTGGCAACCCTGGGGCTGTTATCTAATAAGCTGTTTAGAAATAGTACAAAGCATCTTACAAACACCCAAAATAGTAAATACTGATAGGAAACCCTATCCTTTCACTATTAACATCAGCCAATGAGGGTGTTCAGAATAATAACTCTATCTCATTGACTAAAAGTAAGGACCTGAAAGGACCAGCATTCCACTTAGAATATATTATTACCACAGAGACACACAAAACTCTAGCTGATAGATATTTCAAACCTTTTTGACAAAAGACATTGGGTCCTAAAAACTGAAGGTAGCTATGGAGTCAGAATAAAATGCAACTATCCCTTATTCAGCAAACAAATCTGTGTTTGGTGTGAACACCCACATCCCAGGACCAGACAACACTATAGTCCACCCCCAATGCTCTCTTACTTCCCCTTTAATTCATAATTTACAAGGAAAGTTAGTCACTGCTATATTATGGGTAGAAATATGGCTGGACTTACAGAAAAGCTAATGATCCCAAACAAAGACTGGGAACATTGTTGTTTGTCTCATATTTGTAGCATGGCATGGAAAAGATTAGACCCCATTGTACTAGGCACTGAAGAAATATATAGCAAAAGAATGGGGTCCTTGCCTTGAAGAGTTTACAATCTAAGTTCAATATGGGAGACTACAAGTGGATATAACAAACAGATAGAGGGAAGCACAAGGTAATGGGGAGATAATTACAAACAGTGTAATAAGCACCAGTCACCATTTACCAGCTGGTTTATCAAGTGTTTTGTAGGCATAATGGCATAAATGGTTGTAAGGGAAGATTTGAAGGAGAGTGCTTTTCTCAGAATTTGACAAGCATCATTATACTTTCTCCCATGCTGTCCCTTAGCTTGGAAGGCATTCCCCTGGGCTATTACATTACTGTCCTTTAATCTTTCCTGAAAATGTACTTTTGGCTTTATGCCTACAAAACACTTGACAATGATTAACCAGCTAGGGTTTGCATTTCTACAGAGTAGAAGAGATTATATAGGATGAGGATAGACCACGAAGGGCCTTAAAAATGAAGACAAGGATTAAATCCTCCTTTCAGAGTTAGCATTCAGTCCCTACTCCAGGAAACTATTTATATTTCACATGTGAGAGTTCCTTCTTGAGAGATCTTTTATTCCTCTCACTTGCTGGAATGGATTATCTTGGATTGGATTGTGATGACAGTAACCCCATTCTGAGTAAACAAAATCTCTTGAACTATATAATGAGATCAGGAGGCCCCATCAGGCTTCTGTGTGGAACACTGCATCAGGGAGGATAGTTTTATTTTACAGTTTTGCTGTCTCCTCTTCACTCTAGCTTTGGCTTTTAGGGGTCCTTCAAACCTTAGAGCTTCTTTTAACAAGAGCTGAATGGGTGGCAAAAAGAGGCGAAATTTATCTTACAAAAAGGTGGCTGTGAAAAAGTCAGGAGCACTAATTTATACTGCAGCCTATGTTTATGAGAAAAAAATATTGACTGTACATTTTCAATGAATTATGTATGTGTTTATTTGTTATTGTCTTTAGGCTGTGAGAAGACAAAAGGTTCTTGAACAGAGTATCCAGTCTGCCCAGGAAATTGACAAAACCCTTCGCTTGATCCAAGAGTCTCTTGCCTTCATTGACAGACAATTAGCAGCCTACATTGCAGAGAGAGTTGATGCTGCACAAGTCCCTCAGGAAGCACAAGTAAGTTACATTTGGGTTAATGGTCTTGAATTGATTTGTTAATCACACTGGATTTCTGAATCACTGAAGAGTGGTGGGCTTTCTGTCTCTCTTTTTTAAAATAAGAGGTTTAGAATTTTTGCAGTGCTCTAAATTAAAAAGATGAACTTGCAACGGGTTTTTATAACACACTACATTTGAAAGGGCAAGTAAAGTTTAGATAAAAGTATTGCTGGAAATGGGCCACCTTGATTGCATTGGCCTCGTTAGC